CGCGCATGCGCCGCGGAGCCAGGAAGCGGGAGCGGGACTCGAACCCKCAGCCTCCGGAGGAGCCTCGGCCGGGGCCGGGCGCGGGGGCGGCACCTCTGCTCTTTATTAATTCTTACACCCAGAATTGCTTCATTCTTCACCAAATCGCCGAATGTGCCGCAGGCTCCCCGAGTTCCTATTTTTTTGCACCGCATTTAGCCCTTTGCATTGCTTTCTGTGCCTGCCTTGGCATGCTGCAGCCGCCGCCGCTTCTCGCCCCAGCRTGGAGAATTACAGCTGTAATAACAGCAGCAATCGTGAGCTTTCCTCCCCAAACTGGCTTGGGGGAAATGTGTAATTTCATTTTTCCTTCGGAGTAAGGAAAAACAGCCCCTGTGCTCATCGTGGCTGAGGGTGACTAGGGAAAGCAATTTTCTTTTTTTAAACCAATTTATTTCTAAGAGCAAAGAGGAGCTATTTATACCTCGGAGCGGCGCACCGRTAACCATTTATACACATGGAGCACTGACTGCTTGCTCCCAAAATAGCAGGTAGCATCGCTCGCCCCGTGCCTGCCGCCAGGAGCAGGTCCCGCTTTGGGCACCGATGCTGGAAGGAGCCAAGGAGCCACAGGAAGCAGTTTCCTGCGGGAAGGACGTTTGGTTTTGTGGTAGCTGCTGGCCCTAGGGCCGAGCTTGTCCCTTGGAAGCAGGTGGCAGCACGAGGACATGCTGGTGCTGTTGGTCTACGTGGTTTTGTGGTTTTTTTAGGCATGGAGACGGGTTTTGAGCTTGCACATCCTACTGTGCCCATGTCCTCACCAGTCCTTGTGGAGCTCCAGACTGAGAGACCCTTGTCCCCACGGAGTGACTGCTTGGTGTCATTGGGATTGTATCCTTGTAACGCAGTTCCCAATGAATAGATATCGCCCAAAACATGGATTTCACCATCTACACCACCCGAACCCCTCCAGGTCCCTATATCCGTAAGATCCTTGTGTGGTTCTGCATGTGAGGAGCTGCTGTTGGCCCCTGATGGGAGCCGGGCTCCCTCTTTCCCCTCCTTCAGATCCTTGTTAGGAAGGTTTCACTGAGCGACCTATGGAAATTCCAGGGAAGCAGCTTGAGCACAGAGATACCCACTGTTGGCTGAAAGGGATAATTTTACCCTAGATCGGGTACCAAAGCTGAAGAGCAAATGATCGTCCTATTTTTCCTCCGACTGTGACTCGTTATATAATTCACTTGCCAGCCATTGGTTCCTGAAATGTGAAAACGTCTTCAAACCGTCTGATCTTCCCCGTCCTAAACCGCTGCGTGTGCTCGTTTCTCGCCCAAACATTTGATTAGCCTATTTTCCCGAAAACCAGCTGCTCAAATAAACCTTATCTGGGGCCTCTCTCGTTGTTACCCGTTTCCTTCACAAGATCAATATTATTCTTCTGTCCCTTCCATACAAATGGCACTCCTTCCCTGATTCCCAAGGCAACTTCTCCTGGATTTACCGTCAGTTCTTAATGTCAGATGCTGAGGTTTTGTACCGGCGACTTGACTTATATATTGGCCTATATATTGGTGCTTGGCAATACACCCGGTTCCCCTTCTCGCTGCTGGGCCACCTGGAATTGTCATCAGCTCTGTTATCATTTCTTTTTTTACTATATGGCTGTCACCAGGTTGAACTTTATCTCTTCCTCCTGCCCCAGCACCGTGTTTTCTGCCTGGATTTGCTGTTTAAAGCTCTGTTAAGCTGCTGCGTTGGGATCGTTCTTGGAGTTTCGGGAAGCTCCAGGGGCAGAGGGCTGTGACTGCCGGGAAAGGGCGATGGGAGCAGAAAGTCCCCACTCCTTGTGGCCTCGGGGCAAGCTGTGTCAGCAGTGCAGAAACACTGGCCGTTTTCTCCAGGTCGTGGCTGCAATCTTGCAATTGATTCGATGTCTGGCCCAGATCCCCCTAATTCTCACCAGATGGGAATGTGGTTGTGGATTCTGCCCTGTCTGGACACCTGGCATCAGTTGTGGGGACCAGGTGTCCTAAGGAGGGGAGTTTGCTCTGCAAGACCCCTCTCTCCTCGTCCTCCGCGGCTCAGCCTAGTGCTCGGAGGCGGGTGCCACCTTCTGCTGCCCACGGTGTTCCCTCCATCCGTGAGGCACCGGAGAAGAGCCTGGAAAAGAAGTGACATGAAAGGCTTGGCCGGGCTCCGGCRGCGAAGGCCAGTGCCTCGGTGTGTCCAAGGGCATGGGAGCGCGTGGCCGTCCCGTGACCGTCACTGATGCCACCGTCTGCAGACGTGGCGCGTGCACGAGCGAGCGCCCACGGCCGCTTGCGCAAGGACCACAGGGCTGGGAACTGGCATGGTGGTGGAGCTGAGCCCAAGCCTGCAACGTCACTGCTGCTCCTTGCAAATATTTGCCTCTAGCTGCAAAACGGGCCAAGCGGAGGCAGCGGGAGCTCTCGATGTGCAGCTCTGCAGTGAAGCGGTGTCAGAGCTCAGCAAGCGGCCAGCACGGGGACAGCTTCACTGCCATCCCAGGGATGCTCTCCGGGCACAGGGATGATGCCGGAGTAGGACAATGTGTAGCTCTGCATCCTTGTGCACATGCATAGGTGTGCGCATGCATCGCTATGCATGGATGCGTGTGTGTGCATCCCCATGCATGAGTGCATGTGCCTGCATGTACATCCTCAGGAATTTGCCTGTGCGAGCATCCCCATGCCTAGGTGCACGTGCCCATACATTCATCATCATGCACAGGTGCATGTGCCTCCACGCACGAGTGCATGCATCTGCCTGCATGTGCATCCCCGTGCATGGGCACATGCACATGGCCGTGCAAGCATCCCCATGCACGGGTGCATGCGCAGCCCTGAGCACGTGCCTGCACGAGCACCCCCATGCACGGGTTCATGTGCCCCCATGTGCATCCCCATGCATGGGTGCATGTGCCCGTACATGCAACCCCCATGCATGAGTGCATGCGCCCCCATGTGCATCCCCATGCACGGGTGCATGTGCCCGTACATGCAACCCCCATGCACGAGTGCATGCATCTGCCTGCATGGGCACATGCACATGGCCGTGCAAGCACCCCCATGCATGGGTGCATGTGCACCCCCCAGCACGTGCCTGCATGAGCACCCCCATGCACGGGTGCGTGCGTCTGCGCGTGCATCCCCATGCACGGGTGCCTGTGCCCGCGCGTGCATCCCTATGCACGTGCCCTCCTGCATCCCCGGTCCCCGCCGCGGGATCCGCTGCACTCGGAGCCCCGGTGAGATGAGACACCTGGAGCGAAGCAGCCGGGAGCTGCTAATGGGGCTGCATTAAGGGCTTCGCTGAGAGCCCTGCTCCCTTTCTTGGAGCCGTTCTTATTCTGCCGAAGTGGGTCAGGCTTTGTTTGTGTGTCTGCCCGGCTCCCCGCAAGTGCCATTACCTGAGCACGTCGGCGCAGATCGAAAACCTTGCTCTTCGGTTGCCTAATGCYCAGGGAGAGGAAATGGGCTTTGTTTGCGCTTTGTTTTGGCACAGCAAAAGGACATCAAATAAAATATCCCCGCCCTTAGCTCCCACTGCAAATGTAACTTCGTTCAAATCAGCCTGATTACCGAAAATAGACAAATTTCACAGGGGCTTTGCAAAATGAATCAGGCGGCCTTGAAGAGCGTGGTGATGCCAGAGCAGCGGGTTTGGGGCCAGCGCTGACGTCGTTGGGGACATGTCTCACTGGCAAATCGCGGCACCGGCAGCATCGGCGACGGAGCAGCTTCCCTGGACTTTGCTTGCTAAGTGTTTAATATTTAGCTGCTAATAAGTAAAGCGTGTTGCTGAGGCTCAGCTGACGGGATGGCTCAACTTTCCTAGGAATTTCGTTGGCCCGCAATGCACAAACAGCCCCAAGGATGCGGGTGGGCGCTTCCCTGGGATAAACTTTTCCATGCAAATGGCCTGTTTGCCCGCAGCAGGCTCCGAGGCCGCCGTCTCTGCAGCTTCCCCTCGGAGCTGGAGCAGGACTCGGTCCCTGCCACAATCGTCTAAGCCCAGCACAGCTCAGCCAGCTTCACCCTTAATCCAAATGCAAACAAATGTCACAAGAGGGTGGCCCTGGGCTTTGCCATAAACCCGTCCCCACCATTTCTCCCATGCAAAAGTGCCTCTGATGGCCCTCCAGGAGCCTTTTCTAAAGCCCCTAAATTTCTAAATTCAGCTTTTCCTATGTATTCCTGCAGCTCCCAGCAGTTTCCCCTCCCCGTGCAGAGGGATTATGGAAGCGAGCYGGCCCATTCCAGCCTCTCTCAGGAACTGCAAAGATAATGGCCCTAACGCTAATTGCTCCTGCTGGTTAATTTTGCATCGTCATCGCCAGCTGCCAGGAGCATCATCTGCGCTGCTATTTCGGGGCGGAAAGGCTGAATCCAGCTGGCTCCCGGTGCTGGGAGCGGAGGTGCGGGCGCCGCTGTCTGTGGGGACCCGTGCACAGGGATGCGGATGCGCACGGAGGTGCGAGCGCGTGTGTGCGGACGTGCGCACGCGGAGCTGCTCGCATCCTGAGAGATTCCGCTGCCCCTTCCTGCCTCCTGAGCTCCGGCTCCAGCCCTCTCCTTGCGGAGAGCTCTGTTTGAACGCGGTTTGCGCAGCGCCGGCTGTCGCGAAACCTCGAGGACGGGGTCGCACCGAGGTTCCCCTTCCTCTCTCTCCGTCAAGTTTAAAGATTTGAGCTGGGCTCAGGGCGGCGAGCTGGGATTTTGGAGGGAGTGCAGCCAGAAAGCCTTTCCCTTTGGAAACCAAGCTGGGAAATGCACGGGCAGCCTGTGATGGACCATTAATGGGGACTGAGACCTTCCTCGGAGCCGCCCCCAGGACCCATGAGGACATTTCCACCTTCCTGACAGCCGCTCCCACTCTAGGCAGCTGGGAACAGCATCCTGGTAGGCGAAGGCGAGTGCTTGGGAGAAATTCCCATATCCAGGAAGGAGAGCATTCATCTCTGTGGGTGCTGGAGCAGAGCGCCCCGATCGAAAGGGGAAGGTGCTAATTTAGCGCTATTAACTTGTTCTGTCGTGGGCTGTAATTAGTGCCTGTGGGAATCCAAGCGCTCTGCCCTTTGCATCAGCTCCCGCTCCCCCTCCGAGCTCTGGGGCCGTTTTGTTCYGCGGCTGCCGGCGGGAGCGGGCGCCAGGAGCTGCCGCGTGGGCCGTGCACCACCACCRCGGCTCTCCATGTCCTGCACGACAATATCCAGAGGCTGGGAAACACGCGGAGCCGGGGTGGGAGCCGGGATGGGAGCGGGCTCCAGGCACCGCAGTGCCCTTCCCCATGGGACGTCYCTGCCGTGGGGAGCGGGATGCACCGGGAAGCCTCGCTGGAAGGCGCTGGATGTGGCTCTGGTGCCACGTCTGTATTTGCAATCCCGGGATATACGRCGTAATCCGCCCACGGCGGAGCCAGGCTGTTCTTGCCAGGGAAGGACAGAACATCCTTGCGCGCAGGGAGGTCAGCGTGGACACGGGGAGCTCGCGGCTCCCTGGAGACACGGGGCACCCTCAGGGGCTCCGATGCAGCGCAGGATCCCGGGATCCGATGGCTGCGGAGAGCCCAACCGAGAGCGCTCRGCACCCGCTGCGTTTCTCCCCGTCACTGGCTCCGACCTCGCCAGGAACAGTTTGCACCCGGCTGGCGAGCAGGGACCTTGGGGCTGTTCCCAGGCCGTGGCGGGTGCTGCAGGGAAGCTGTGCTCCGAAAAAGGGCTCTTTTCCAGCAAAAGCAGCAGCGGGGCTGGGCGCACATGCTCAGGGGTCAGCAGGTTCGGCCGGGCCAGGAGAGCGGGTAAACGGCGCCCGCTGCACTCAGCAGCGCAGGGCAGCCGAGCGGGAAACCTTGGGAAACCTGGAATGCGGGCGGGCAAAGAGGCCTCCTGTGACCCGTGGCTTTACAAGGAGAACGGGCTCTGTCCTGTCCCGGGCCCTGTCCTGCCCTGGGTTCATCCCTTGAGCCGTGGTCGCTCTGCAGGGTGACAAAACCCGGTTATTTTGGTGCCCTGGCACCTCAGAGCTGCTGTGCCCACCTCGCCAATGCAGGTCCTGCTGCCAGCCTGGTGCTCTTGTTTGTGCCTCCGAGCAATGGGTGGAAAACGTGATCTTTGCTGCCTTGAGGCTCAACTCGTGCGTCTCCAGATCATTTCACCCCTCACCCTGCTGCAAAGCAGGGCAGAACCGCCCCATCCTGCAGCACGGATCCCCGCTCCTGGCCCAGTGCAAACCAGTAAGGACTGGGACGTCTGCCCGGGAACATGACAGGGCCCAAGGCAGCGACTCCCTTCGTCTCTGTGCGTCCTGGGAGCTCCAGCGGCTCAGGGAGACCCATGGGAAGAACCCCCTGCACCCCCGCGGCTCCGGGAACCCCGCGGCGAGCCCGGGCTATTGTGCTGCTGGGAATGACATCGGATCGCCGCTGCTGATAACGGCCTCATGCCGCTCTCGCCGGCGGTGCCATTTACCCACCCTTCACCTCCCTCTAATATTTTCCGAGCTCAGTACTTATTTCCAGCCTAGTCATCCACAGAAATAGGAGCCAAAGGGCTGTTTCTATACACTCCGGGAGAACCGCTGAAGGAGAAGGGACCCCTTCCCACTGAGAAAACTACTGGAGCGTGAGCCCAGCCCTCAACTAGACATCAGAGAATCACAGCACAGCTCAACAGCGTAGCGAGACGTCATGGGGAACCCGACGTCCTTGGGTTTGCTGCCTTACGGCACCGCTCGGTTTGTTTTGTTCTGGCTTTGAGATAGCGGTTGAGACCAAAAAAAAAGCAATTGCTAAGCGTGGGACTAAAGGGGTGATGCAAAGGCCGGCGGGCGGCGCGGGCCGAGCCCTGCGGGAACACGGGGTCCCTGCCACCAGCTGAGTCGGGTGACTCCGTGTCTCCATATATCACCCCCCGTTACACACTAGGATCAACCTCGGGACAAAAGTCATGGATAATTCCAGCCAGGTGGCACCTGCTGGTGGCCCATGTGCTGCTTTCCGTAATCCGCTGCCACCAATGCACCTCTGGGCATGAGTGCATCCCCATCCCGGTGTCTCCCTGGCTCTTTCCCTTATGCATTTTGCCTTGGGAAAATAAAAAGGGAAAGGAGGATTCGTGGCCGTGCTGCCGGCCTGAGGCTGCTTTGCAGCAGGGCTGGAGGTGCCACGTCCCTGGTGCGAATGAGCGCCCAGCGCAGCCCCTTGTCTGTGTCACCCTGTCCTTCTTGCGCCCGTTTCTTATCTCCGGTGGCTTCAGTGCAGCTTGAGCCACGAGCCGTCACCACGAGCCAATACAGCATCAAAAACGGGTGTCAGTGGGACTGTTTATAAAAGCCTGGAGCAGGGGAGAAGGCAGCAACAGCATCATGGAGATGGTGGAAAGGGGGATGTTTTCGGGCTCCTTATGCCATGGAAAAGGCATTTGGATGCTCTGGATTAAGTGTTGAAACCCTTGATCCTTCCCAAGTCCCGCGCTTTAGCCCCAAATACAGGCTCACCAAACATCTCAAGGGGAAAGCCAGCTTGGCTACAACACTGGCAGGCTTTCCCAGGCCATTTTATTAGGATTAGGGCTACTTTCCTGCCCAGAATTTAGATTTAAGAGTTCACAGCAGTGGAAGATTTCCTCCTCCCCAGGCAGMCATGTCCCCTGCCAAACGCAGAGCCTGGAGGACAGGCTCAGCCGGGCTCAAAGTTAATCTTTATTTCTCCTGCAGGCTCCTGCTATCTCCCTTCAACCCCACGCTGGGCTGAGAAGCATCTGCAGCTGCGTCCCATTAACAAAGATGCTTAAATGCTTTGCTGAGGGGGTGGCTTCCTTCCTTGGGACTGCCCTACATGTTCCTGGTGGCACCGTAGGATGTGTCTGTGCTGAGTCTGTGGCTCTTTGCTGGCCCCCAGCTCCCACATCAGTGATGGGAAGGTGACAAGAAGCTGCCTGAGTGGTAGGTGTGAGGCTTTGGGTTTGGGTTGGGGCTTCAAGGAGCCTCTTAGTTGTTTTTTCTCCTCCCTTTAGCTCCCAGGAAGAGTCTTAGGAAACTTCCAGCGCTTGTTGGAAGGACTTTTCCAAGCTTCCAGCCTGGACTTTGGACCTGGGAAGCTTCAAATGGATCTTGGTACTGCTGGTGTCACCAAGATCCTCTAAGCCAGTGCTTGACACTGCTGCTCAGCTCAGGCTCCTGCAGGACCAGCTCTGAGCTCGGCTTTACATTGAACATGGGCAGCTCCTGCATCTTGCTTGTCTCGTTAAGGCTCAGATTTTAATTTCTCGCAGCCAGGAGCTGGGCCTGAGCAATTAGGCAGTAATGAGCTATTCATCCTGAGGCAGTGCGTGGATCTAGGTTAATTAGTATGACTACTGCATCCGATCCTTTCTGGCTTTGCCCAGTTTTCCTTATTTTTTTCCCCTCCTCTTCTGCGCAGTATCTGCAGAGCTCTCGGCTTGCTTAATTAAGAAGGTAGCGTCACCCTGGGGCCCTCTTGTTCTCGCCTTCCTCCTCCAAAAGTGAGGCTAAAAAAAGGAGCAGGAATTAACTGGTGGGTGATGAAGCAGGAGCCACGGTGCAGGACCGGGGCTTGGGGGAAACACGGTGCCCAGAGCTGGGAAGGCTGAGAATGATCCCACGAACGCTCCCGAGTGGATGCTCCGCTAAGCTGGGCAGTGTGGGAATAGTGCGAGTCCCAAGGGGCTCCCGGGTCCTTGTGGGATCTGCGAAGCTGCAATGTTGGAATTTGCAGAGGGGTTTTTGGCTTCCTTGGAGTGCAAGCCCAGGGGTGTTTTGAGTGTTTTGGGGAGCTTCCGAACTCTTGAGAGCTCCATGAACGCAGGTCTGGCAGCCTGGAGGTGCTGAAGTGCAAGATSCAGATGTTGGGGCACAGAAGTCTCGCTTTTTCTGCTCGTTCTCCTCATTTGTGAGCTCTGTTTGTGCATATTCAAAAGCAATGCGGGGCTTTAGCCTGTTTGCTTCCATAGGGCACATCTGGGTTCGGGATGCGATCCTGATGGGCACCTGCAGCAGCAAGAGGTGAGGTCCCCGCAGCCCGACAGCCCCGCGGCTGCTCCCSTCTGCTTGCAGCTCATCCTGCAACCCCAGCCGAGGCGCAATAATGCACTGCGTGCCTATTGCTTTTATTGAGTTTATTGGTATTTCCCTGCAGCTCAGGAAYGAGGCCGAAGCAGGAGGCGGTGACGCCTGTGAAGCTGGGGGACCTGCTTGGCCACGTGTTTCCTTAGATCCCATTGGGGTAATTAGCACTAACGAGGGGATGGGAAGGGAAGCTGCAGCAGGGRACACGCGTCGCCCCTCCTGCATCTTCTACAGTCAAAACCCTGAGCAAGAACAYGATGTTTGACCCGGTGCTTTGGAACTGCCCGCGCGGCGGGCGCTGAAGRCAGGGCTGCAGGGTTCGGCCAAGCCAAGCAGACCCCGCGGCTCCCGCGAGCGCCGGCCCGGCGGGACGAAGCCCACGCGCTTTTTCCATCTCCGGGCAGCGCGGCCCCGCAGYGGGGAGAGGTCTCTGCTTTCCTCTCCTCCTGGCTCGCATGTGCACGGGTTGCTGTTGTGCTGCTCACTCGCTCCCTGCTCTGCAGGGGCAGGACATGCGATGCCAGCCTTGGTGCAGCCCCGTAGCCTTCATGGGGCTCCCAGTCCAGCACCCTATTTCTCCTCAACCCTGTTTTTTATATGGACCCTAATGCCCCCGGTCTCATCTTGTGTTCCTTTCCCATAGGCTTTGCAGGAGGGACAAGCYGCAACCGGGATGATCCGGCTGCGGAGCGGGATGTGGCTGCTGCTGTGAGCGCCGCCGCATCCCCACGAGCGGGCGCACAGTCCCCTCTAGCGGAGGCTTCTCCASTGTCGGTGTTGGCTGCACGGGGACCGAGGACCGTGACGGCCGGGTGCCATCCGTGTGGGAAGGGGATGTGATGGCCTGGATCAATGCAATGTGTGGCTTGTCCCAGCTGCAGAGCTGGGAAGCCCGGCACGCAATGGATGTCTGCGCCTTGCGCTCCTCAGGACGCTCGGCATCGGGATGTGCCAAGGTCACTGTGACCTTCCTCCGTCCTCTCCACCTGCCTCGGAGCTGTGTGTCAGCTGGAATATATAGGATATCTGCAGGCTGGGGCAGGTTGGGGCTACAGTTTCCAGAAAAAGAGGAATGCCTGGGAGTGCAGGGAAGAGCAGGAGCAGCCCTTGGGCCCTGGTTCYGCAGCAGCTCCCGCTCCCCTTGCCATCCAGGCCCTGGGATGCTGCTCCTCTGCATTGCTCCATTTCTCACAGGGYCGCACAGCCCCAGCCTCTCCTGTTATCCCTGCTGAGCTGTTATTTATTATCCCAAGGTTTTGCAGGAATCTGGTTGCTAAGTGAATCCCACCCCCACCTCTATTGCTAAGGGCACCACAAGGCTCCGGGGCTCCCGCTTCCCAAGATAAGTGAAGCAGCCCAACTCCAACGCCATGAAAATGGAGTATTTATTGCAGAGCTCCTCATTGGCCTCATTTTCATTAATATATATTTAAAAAAAAAAAAAAGCTGTGTGCGTCTTAGCTGGTAGCAGAAGTGCTTGAGYGTGGCCTTAGCTCCTGAGCTTGGTGCCCTGGGGTGCAGTGCAGCTCCCACCGGATGATTTTTCAGCCGGGGTCATCCCACATCCGTGGCTCTTTGTTCACAGTCTTGGCTTGTTGCAGGAAAATCCTGGATGCCGAGGCTGCTCTCGGCTGGGGAGCTTCASCAAATGATCACCCCAAAGCAAACCTGCCACCTCGAGAAGCACAGAGTGGTTTAAATAGGAAAACAGCAACAAAAACAAAATACCCTCCTGCTGTTAAACTCCCCAGGGCGCCAGCAAGCAGAGTGCGGGTGTTGACTGTCCGAAAGGCTCGTCGGAGGTTGTCCTGGTAAGATGCACTGTTGTTTATGGGCTCCCACTGTGTCCATGGCACCTCTCCCGCTGGCCGGTGCCCCTGGCACATCTGCCTTTGGGACTGCTCCTGCTGCACAGCTCAAGTTCTGCCCTGATGCTAAATGAGAGCTCTGGGATGATCCTTTCGGCTCCCACGGTGCTCGGGGCTTGTGCCCAGGGGCAATCAAAGGGAGCTGCATTAGTTGTGCGTAAGAGCTGTTCATGTCCCTCACCTGCAATGGGGCTCAGCTCCCTGCAGTGTCCAACCTGCCAGAGCACCCTGCCCTGGCACCCAACCGCCCTGAGGTCCCTGCATGCAGGAAGGAGGGTGCCACGCGGGCACAGGCCAGTGCTTTCCTGGTGAATGGAGCAGCAGGAGGGGACGTTCAGGTCACCCAGGTGGCACATGCAGACATGTGAGGCTTTGAAATGCAAGGAGCTACTGTCAAAGCACCAGTTTTCTGGATGAACCAGGACTGCTGCCTCGCAGGCAGCTGCAAGAAGAGCTCCCAGGTGCTGCAGAAAGGAGTCAGCTCTTGCCAAGGGCAGTGGAGAGAGAACAACAGCACTCGGCTCACTCCCCATGACTGGAGCCAATGGAAGGATGTTGTTTTCCTGCATCTGGTTGCAGAGAAGGGTTCCTGCAGCCCAGGCAGGGAAGCGCTTGGCTGTGGTGAGAGGCACCGCTGGGCATCGTGTGCCAGATCTCATGGCCCGGCCACCTTGTCCCATCCCCTCGGGGGGAAGCTGCCGGGGGGACATGCCTGGAGGAAACCCCTTAGTATCAAGGGCAAGCACTGAGCTGACCTGGCGCTAGCTCCACCTGAAGTGCAGCCAGGAGGGATCCAGCAGCACTCTGTGCCACTCYGGGCCCTGGAGCAAGGCAGTGACATGGTGAGCTTGTCCATCAAAAGCACCACGCTGGCCCCCATGCCACGCACAAAGATCCCTCGAGCGTGCACAAATGCCCTGTGGCCAGGATATCTCGTGGCATGGCAGTCCCAGCATTGCTCCTGTAACAGCTGGGGCTGCATCTGGGTGACCGCAGAGCTTCAGCCCCCTCTTCTTCCTCTCCCCAGTGGACACAGGGTCTGCTGGGCTCGTTGGGGATGCACAGAGCAGCAGGGCTCAGGCAGCCCGGTGCGGTGGCTGCCGCTTGCTGTCCAGGATGGCCCTCCAGTCGTCYGACCAGGAGTGCAGCCGGCGGCTGGGGGGCTTCAGCTGCAGGTGCCTGTTGTGGCAGGCGGTGAAGAGGAYGTGCTCCCAGCTGGGGTTCTTCTCGGCGCCTGCAAGAGAGCGGAGAACCAATAGCAAAAAATCTCTCCCATGGGAATACAGTGCCTGGGCTCTGGAGGTGCACAGYGGTGACACCCAGTGCCTTCTGCTACCCCACACCTCCCTTACCGGTGATATCGGGTCTGTCGTCGATGAGCAGGTCAGCAGACACCACTGTTTTATCCCGCGTCAGCACCATCTGCTCCAGAAACTCTGGCCCAAAGTGCTTTTCCACCCAGGCGTACTGCAAGGGGATGGCAGAGCAGGGCATGAGGACAACGGGGGGGACAGATGGGGACAGGCAGCACAAGGTACAGCAGCCCCCAGAGTGCTGCAGAGCCTGAGTGGCAGGAACTGCCCCAAATCSCACACAGAGGGCTATTTTGGGGCTATTTGGGGCTGCTCAGGCTGCTCATCCCCCAGCTCTTTCCCATGCAGGGCTCACCTTCTCGTAAGGACAGTAACGATACTTCTTGATGGGACTTGTGCAGATGAATACGTCGGTGCTGCCATGACAAGAGGACGTGGGTGAGGATATCACTTGGTTGGACCCTCCCGTATCCCCTTCCCCAGCTCCGCTGCATCCCAGTCGCTGCTGCGAGACCCATTGGGTGCCCCAGCAGACCCAAAGACACCTCCCACGTAAGGGCAAGCCAAGCAGGGACAAYGCAACCTGTTAATCCCCCACTTCCCAGAGGCTCAGCCCATTAACACTGTTAAGGACCCATGCATAGAGCGCCAGSACCTCTCCCACCACCCTCGCTGGGAGCAGAGCTGCAGGAGGCTGATTCCTTGGGGAYGGCTCCATGAACCCAACCCTGTCACTTCCAACCATGCCCTTGGGTAGGAAAGCCAAAGTATTCTCCTGCTGTATATAATGTTGCTGCTGGGAAGTGTGGGGCGGTGCAGCGCCCCGGCTGCCCCCCCTGCAATGCGGTCGGCTCCCACTCACTCTGCCAGATTAGCCATTTGCTTCACGGCTTCCACAGCTCCAGGGAGCGGGTCCAGCTCCATGAAGAAGTTCTTCGACTCCCAGATGCTGATGGCTTGTTCCTGGCAGAGGAAAGAGACCCATTACTGCATGTGCTTCCTCACACCCTTTGCTAGGAGAGATGGTGACAGCAGTGAAGGTGGGGGGTCTGGGCAGGGAGTGCTGGCTCTGATCCCCCCCCTGCAAGCCTCTGAACACGATGCTTCTCAGCTCAAGATATTGGCCTATTGGTCTCAACTGTATTTAAAACAGCATCTACGAAATGCTCTTGCATAGGAGGAAATATGTTACTTCTCCTGACAGCTCCCACTTCCTCCAGGGATCTTGGCCATAAAAAAAGACATGAATTCCTCCAGATTGCTCAGGATTGCAAGGGGAAGGCAGCGGGATGCAGGCGCTGTCCCACCAGGGACAGGAGTGCTCTGTTTGCCAGGCCACCCTTCAGCCTGGGCATGGACACTCTGCAGGGAAGAGCTGCAGGGAGATGGTACCAAAGGCTCTGCTGGATGAGGAACCCCGTGCTGGGAGATGAAGCACCATGCAAAGAAACTTCTGCTTTGCGGCTTTAATCACTAAAATGAGTTACAGCCCTTTCCTGGCCTGGGAGGGCTGGGGGGTGCTCTGTTTTTAAGCAAGCCCTYGTGCGAAGCATCGATCTCGTGCTTTGCGCTCAGCTTCGCTGCTGCATCCCACCCCTTGCCACTGCTGAGGAGCTAAAAAATTCCACCTAAGGAGGAAGAATGTTGGACAGATCTGTGTTTTTTCGGTAGCAATTTAAAAGGCATGGTCTAAACAGGGCTAGGAGAGTTCAACCACACAATTCAGGGGGCTTTTGAAAGCTCGGTTGTTCTGAGAAGGCATCTTCTTCCCCAGCACCTGCCCCTCCAGCATCCACACCTTACGTACCACGGGGAAAGKGGACCGATGTGCAACGGAAACGCTGTGTTTTGGGGCAACGGGGTTAACGCCGCTGGCCTGGCACCCACAGGGGTCCCTCCCCRCTGCAGCATCCCGGTGGGATGCGGGTCCCCTCCATGCACCCGACGGCAGCGGCCGTGTCACGGCGACTCACGGCGAGGCCCGGCCGCAGGCGCCCGTACTGCTCGGAGACCCAGAAGCCGCGGCGCTCCTCCAGGGCCACGAAGGGCTGGTCGGGGTAGGCGGCCCTGAACTTCCTGAGGAAGCCGCCCTCGAAGTCGGCCAGGACGCCGTCCATGTCGAGGAGCACGCGGAGCGCGCGCCGCGGGCCCAGCGCGCCGCGCGCCCGCAGCTGCAGGAAGCCGCTCCGCGGGATCATGGTGCCCGCAGCGGCGCCGGCCGGGGCCGCTCGGTGATTCAGAGCGAGCCCCGTGCGCGGGGCGGCCGCGCCATGGCCGGACCGGACCGAGCCCCGAGCGCAGCCCGGTTCCTCTTCCCGGGGCCGGGCCCGCCTCGCCGGCACCGCCTTAAAGCGGCGCGGGCGCCCTGCGGAGCCGCTTTAAGCCGGGCCCGCCCGCGCCGCCGCCGGAGCCCGCGGAGCGCCCGGGGCCGGGGGGAGGGCCCGCGGCGGGGGGCGGAACCCACGCGTGTCCCGGGGCGTCCCCTTGGTGTCCGCTGCGGAACGGCAGGGTGCTGAGCACCCACCCGTGTCCTCTTGGTGTCCACTGCAGCAC